TAGTTCTTTGTCTGCTGACTCAACTGCATTGATGTTTCTTTGGGCTCAGAGATTGCTTTTTCTATATTTCTTGCTTCTTTCTCGCTGCCTCTGTTGTGATGATGCCATGGAGTCTTGGTATCTTCATGCACAAGTAGGTCATATGCGTGATGGCGTTGAATCTGGTTGTGAATCCTCTGCCCTGAGATAGCATTGTATGGGTAGTGCAATTCGACGTCGTCGAAGGTTATATACTCGGTTCTAGCATTGGCTTGGTTTCCAAACGACACGAGGAGTGATATCTTTCCTAGTGCTTAGATATCTTTCCTCCGAATCCTATCAAAGGGATTCGAGGGCTGTAGTTGACTCTCTTGAGCTTCATTTGGTCGAAGGTATGTGCAAAGATGATGTCTCGCTAAAATTTTGTGTCAACCAAAAACTCGCTTATCTCCCATGCAGCAATCTTGGTCTTGATTACCATTAAATGCACGTGTGAGGGTAGCTTTCTAGGCGGAGATCTTCTTCCGTGAAGGTGATTGGGATTCTGGACCAATCATGTATTTTGTTTGGGCCTTGGACTGCTCGTTGTTTACCAGAGCGGGTGATCTTTTTTTCTTTTTCGTTTGAAACTCCATTGATGATCCTCCCACAATTGGCGTGATATCATGCCTATTGTTGGTAGCGGTCCATGGGGGTTGACTTGGTTTTCTGGGTTTGGCTCGTTTTTTGGTGTTGGGAGTTGGTTGTGAGTAGGCGGCGGAGGCAGTTGTTGAATGTGTTGCTGTTGCGGCGGAGGCTCGAACCTGCTGTGGTTTTGTGGTGGTGGGTTTGTTTCGAGGTAGGTTATGTGGGGAGGATTTGGGTTTATGTAGGTCAGGCTTGCCTCCGACCTGTAGTTGCCCGCCGGATGCTGATCCGAGGGCGTTGGCCGCCATGCTGGTAGGAAGTTTGGGTAATTGGCGGAGGCCAGTGTGGAGGGATGTATTTGGTTTGCGTTTAGCGCTGGATACATTGGGCAGTAATGCTGGTGGCCAGTTGTGTAGGTGGTGTTGACCTCTCTTGTGCTCTGCTGTGTCGAAGGCTGTGCAGTCTGCTTGTTCTTCATTCTTTCCTGTGTCTCTTTTGTCTCCGAACAATCTTTGGTGTTGTGCCCTGCGCTTTCGCCGTGAAAAACGCAATATGGCCTGCGTTGTTTCTGCTTGTTTTTGTCCCAGTTTTTGCCTTGGTAGCCTTGCCGACCTTGGTTCCTGGTTTGGGTCTCTGGTCCTGCTGGCGTTGCCAATTGCCCTTGTTCGCGTTGAGGTTGACCCTCAATGTTGAGCACTTGCCTCTGGCCTGTTTTCTGATTTGATGCGTTACGGTTCGGTAGCTCTTCTCGGGAGTTTTCTTTCTGCTTTCTTGTCATCTGTTTTGACCCTGCTCCTCCAGCCTTTTCCGGAGGTCATTATCTGATCTGCAGTATTTCTCAAACTCGTCATACAACTGCTGTATGGAAGTTGGTTTCTTTCTTGCTAGGTGTGCTGCGAATGGCCCGATTCGGAGGCCTTTGATCGCTGCTTCAATGGCGATCTCATCTAGGACGTCTGGTGCCTTCGCCTTTACTTGCACGAATTTCTGGAAGTAGTCGTGTAGTGTCTCTCCCTGCATTTGCTTGCACTGGAACAGATCCGTGGATGTCAGCGATTGTGCGGCTAGTCCTTTGAAGTTTGCCAATATTTTGTCTCGAAGGTTTTCCCAAGAATAGACCGTGCTTGGTTTGAGCATGTAATACCAAGCCAACGCGTCGCCTTCGGCAGCAATGACAAAAGACTTTGCCAGGACGGCGTCGTCTCCGCCTGCGGAGGCTACTGCTGCCTCGTAACTCATGATGAACTGATGGGGGTCTGTCTTTCCATTGATTTTTGGCAGTGTTATTGGCTTGTACGCTGTTGGCCATGGCGACTATTGTATACCTTCTGAAAGTGGGGACTTGGGATCGGTAGGCCTCCGCGTCACCTGAGCTTGCATTGTGGGCTGGTTGATCACTAGCGGAGGCCCCTGTGGTATGGTTGCTGTTGCTGCGGAGGCTGGGATTGCGGAGGTTGAGGCTGGTACTGCGTGCTGCATACTCAGCATCTCGGCATGTAGGACTGCCAACTGCTGTCTGATTTCTGCTGCTTGTGCTGATGCTTGAGTAGCTTGCTGATTGGCTGCAAACGCTGCTGCCATTCTGTCTCTCTCTTGTTGCGCTCTCTGCAACTGCGCCTGCAGCTGTTGCAGTTCTTGGTCGAGTGTTGCACCTGGATTTGGTTGGGCCTCCGGACCTTGGATTTCTGGATCTTGGGGCTCCGGTGGTTGACCCTGGGCGTCTGCTCTGGTACTGACCTCTGCTGGCGAAGTTGCGTAGGTGCTACGAGTGGTGCGCCTAGGCCTTCCTTTCTGACCCGTGGTCGCTGCTGCTCTGGTGGTGGTTTTTCTTTTCCCTGCCATCTTTGGTTTGCCTTGGCCAACCACGGTGGGCGCCAATGTTGAAACTTGCGGTTTCAGACAGGTAACTGGGGGCCTCCGCCCGTGGACGGCTGTCCTCAGGTGGAGGCTCGGTTAACAGGAACGATCGCTGGGCGTGTAAGGGAAAGGGCACGGAAAGCTAGGGTTTCATTAATGCATTTTCCAACCACCCACTGCACGGTTACAAGTATTCCCTATTTTATTCGAACTTGTTTTGTAATAACTATGTTTAAACTCTGATGTATCTGAGATGCAAACTTTTATGTAATATGTGATGGTGACCGCTAAACTTATTACGATCTTGGCTGGAATGGAAGTTGGTTTGAAATCATTCGTGATTTCACGGACTATCGGGTTATACGGGCTTAAATTTGCAATCGTCTGCTCCGGCGGATGATTTTCTTACTTAATTTCGTATAATTGGTCGGTTCTGTTACAGTAGGCACGCAGCAGCACCAGGCGCATGCGGCCGCGTGCAGCAGGTGGGGAAGGTGGTAGCAGCATGCGCATTAGGCAGGGTAGGTGCGGGCGTTCGGATGGGGGCTAACATCCGGACGTCCGGGCGCTAGCCACGACGTTTATAGAAGGTAGGATTATGTGGTCCCCATATAGAAATTATCTCTAGAGGCAGCTATTCCCCTGCCTTTGGAAGCCAACCGTTTACGGTTGTCCTTCATGTAGAATCCCCTATTGTAATTTTATTGGTGCAAATGTATCTAATTTTATTGCTGCAATATCTCTAGTTAATTGTACAATAGAAGTATGTTGTTCAGCCACACATTGTTACCCCCAAACAAGTGCAGCCAGTGCCTCACGGATGTGAACACAAGCTTAGGGACCAGTAAACACAATAAGACAGCCAAATAATTGTCAAAAGTGATAGGAACGAACGGTCCAAGAAAAGCTGGGCTGAATTAGGCTCTAGAAAAATTAAGCAATAAGTCTTAGATTATGCCATTCTACTCCCCTTTGAAAAGCTAGAGCCTTGGAACAAAAAAATTACACTGAAAGTAAATCCTTAGGGTCATCACGCTAAACATAGAGGCATCCAGCATCCATGACCTACCGTAGTCATTGCCACCGCCAAAAAATAGGAAATTCCCAGTAATTAACAGAAATTCCGAAAACTCCGCTCAAGCTCACAAAATTCATATCTCTGCCATAATGCCACCGTTTTCCAATAAATCAGTATGAAAATTTCGTAATATCAAGCCTTATTTATTCTATCTTGTACCACCATAAAGTTCTATATTTGTTTTAGGTGGCTACAAGCTCTGTCGTCGGATCACTTCAGACCACTTAGAGCATCTCCAGTGTGCCTGGTAACTGAACGGTTAGAAGAGAGGTTCGACACTAGAACTAGGGAGTCGAGCACATCGATTCTTCAAATCGACTCTTCGTTATGGTTGGAACAGAGTGAATAAAAAAAAATCAAGCAGTATATAGGTGCGCAATTAATTTACTACTTCGTCCTTCATACAACAGTGTGAAGAGAGAGCAACACATGCCCTTTTCTTTTCTACTCTACATTGTTGTCCCGCTAACTGATTCCACGCTGCAACACTCGAACACTGAAATCGAATCGGACTCCCCTGTAGCTGTTGTTAATGCATCCTTGACAATAGGGTCAATTTGCTAATACATACGATTTAAAAAAAACATAAAAATGGAGCTGCCCCTACATGTGGGCCAGGGGCGTCACCAGGTAACCATTATTTTCAATCGCAAAAAAAAAAAAAAAAAAAAAAATGTAACCATTATTTTTTGGGGCAGCTTGCGATTGAATTGGACCACGTGCAGTTTGAGAGGTCCATAGAGGTTTGTTTGAAAACCGCATGTGCAGGCCTGATTGATTTTTCGAAGACGACAACCCGGCCGTGTCGATTTGTCTTCGCTGTGCAGTGATGTTGCAAAGACAATCGTGTTCGCTCGTCTGCCACACCTGTCGCTCTCGCGGGATTTGTATTTTCCATCGATGCGAGACAGTGACCTGTCGCGGGACGTGGACATGGCACTAGCTTGTTCTTTTTCCTTCTTAAAATGAATACACATTCCGTACTCGAAAATAAAATAGTCTCAAACAACGACACGGTCGGTAAAATATAAGTTTGACTTCTTGTGTTTATAAAAATATTTATAAAAAAATAATATATGTATATTTTTATGAAAGTATTTTTTAAGACAAGTCTGTTCATATGGTTTTTACATCTGTAAAATTAATAACTTAAAAGTTATTCATGATTTATATTGCTGCTATTTGATCCAAGCCTTTAAAACAACTTCATTTTTTAGTAGGAGTAGAGTATATATACACACCATACGTGGAAGAGGGACATCGTGTCGTGTCGTGTCCCTGCCGCGTGTTCATCGGTTCAGTCCACACGCCGCACCCGCGCACACTGCACACCCCTCGCCGTCGCCTCCTGTAAATACGGCAGCCTCGCGCTCGAGCGAGGCAAATTGGCTCACGCGGCGCTGCTCCACTGGTCGTCCCTTCCCTCCAGGCCTCCAGCCTGCAGCTCCCGACCACACCGATGGCCGCCTCCTCGACTGCTGCTGAGGCCTCCGCGCCGGTGCCGGTGCCCCCAGCAGGCCTGAAGGAGGACATCGCGGGGCTGTACGACGAGTCGTCGGGAGTCTGGGAGCGCATCTGCGGCGACCACCTGCACCACGGCTTCTACGAACCGGGCGATGCCGCGTCGGTGCCCGACGTCCGCCGCGCCCAGATACGCACCATCGACGAGGCGCTCGCCTTCGCCGCCGTCCCAGGTGCGTCCTCCACATCCGCAATTAATTAAGCTTTTATCGATCTGTCCAGTGATCACCAGGTTATCTCTACCCGATTGGTTGATTCCGAGCCGGGGCGAACCGCGAACCCAAGCAAACGGCCCAGCTAGCTTTTCTCTTATCTCTCTCTCTGAAATAAAAAGAAGGAAAAATCACTGATGGTACGCGGCCTCAATTTGCTTTTGTTGCCTTGCTTTCTTTGTAGTTGTTTGCATGCTTTGTTTGTTTGTATCACCCTGGGACCTGGGCGGCCGCAGGTGTTCAGCGATGGTGTGCTTAGCTAGTTGACGAGAACTCACTCCGATTTTTCAAACTTACGGCGGCGGCGTTCGGCATCGCGTCCTCTATGTGGGCGCCATTCGGAGAGATTTCATCCATGTTTGGGACACCTTCACGAGTTGTTTTTTTTTCGGTTTGGCACAGCTTCACCAAAAGCTTCATGAGCTGTTTTTTTCCCTGTTTGGCACAGCTCCACCAACAGATTCATGAGCTGTTTTCTTGCCCAACACTACAGGAAACGGCTGATTTGCCGGGAGCAAAAATATTTGCCGGGTGCTTTTTATCGGGCACCCGGCAAAGGAATTCTTTGCCGGGTGCCAGGCCTGGAGACACCCGGCAAAGAAAGGCCCCTTACATCATGTGGAGATGTCTGGGTTTTAGGCAGCCGACGTCGCAACTTACTCGAAACTTTCTCAATTTTTAACCAGGGCCTCCACATGTGATAACAAGACACATCGACAAGTTTCGTGATTTTCGGACATCGTTTGGATTTTATATAATTTAAATAAACTTCCCCCGCGAGTACATCGTCATGTTACGACAACATGATGCGCGACATTTCATGCCACTTCCTGCATACGGCCTCAACATAGCCTAAATATCATGAATACTATTTTTTGAATGATGAAATTCCATTATTTCATGTACCTGCAGTTCAAATTTGGAATAGTCGGAAAAATTCAATGCAACGGAAAAAATTAAGGAAATATTGTTAAAGAACTCATAATTGTCCCAAATTTTGAAACAGGGATATATTTACTGTAGCAAGTCCCCACAAAAAAAATGGGGTCAAAAAAAAAAAAAAAAAATAATTTGCCGGGTGCCACCTAGGGCACCCGGCAAAGAATCCTTTGCCGGGTGCCAGGTCATGGGGCACCCGGCAAAGAAATTTAAAAAAAAATTAAAAAAATTCTTTGCCGGGTGCCGTCGTCACCTGGCACCCGGCAAAGGCGCATGACTAAAAAGGCCGGCCCGTCCCAACCCCAAAGAGACAGCCCGCCACTGCTGTCCGTCATGCCCCGCCGCCGCCCCATTGCTTCGCGCTCACGCGCCACGCCTCGCCATACGCGCGCGCCCAAGGCCGCGCCGCGCCTCGCCAGCGCCCGCGCCTCGCTGCTCTGCCGCTTGATCCGGCGACCACGCAGCGTTTGCAAAGACCAAGCCACGACATAGCCAAACGCGCATACGCCCGTGTGGCCGGCGCGGCGCCAACCGGCGTCCAGCGGCATCGGCCGTGGCCCGCCCGACGACCCAGCGCGCTTTCGGTGGCGCTCTGCCTTTGCCTCGGCGCCCCAGCCCTCGCCACACATGCAAGGCGGCCACGCTGCCCCACCTAGCTGGCCGCCCCGACGAGGCCGGGCTGCCCGTGGTCTGCCAGCTGGGCTCCTCCCGCCACGCCAACCAGAGAGGAGGTAGGTGGAAGAAGGAGGAGGAAGGAAGAATAAGAAAAAAGGGGAGGAGGAAGAGGAAAAAGAGAAGGGGAGGAGGAAGAAGAGGAAGAAAGAGAAGGGGAGGAGGAAGAAGAGGAAGGTGCCGACCCGACCGCCCAGCTGATCCCAAGGCTGCTCGGACTGCCGTTGATCCTCATGTGCTGCTGTCATCCCCGCCGCCGTCGCTGCCCTCGCTCTTGCCGTTTTGCCGCCAAGGTAAGCCCTACCCTTATAGTGTTAGTAGTAGTAGTAGTTAGTAGTGTTAGTAGTAGTTAGTTGTAGTGTTAGTAGTAGTAGTTAGTAGTTTTAGTTGTAGTGTTAGTTGTAGTAGTTAGTAGTGTTAGTTGTAGGGTTAGTAAATAGTAGTAGTTAGTAAGTAGTAGTGGTTAGTAGTAGTTGTTGTTAATAGTTAAGTAGTTCTTACTATTAGCATTGTTAGTAGTTAAGTAGTTGTTAGTAGTAGTGTTAGTAGTAGTTGTAGGGTTAGTAGTAATTGTTGTTGTACTACTTCAATACTTTCATGTGCATGGAAAGAGAACTAAAGTACATGGCTCCTCTTGATATATTGGTGGTTGTTGGCCTTCGTGTCCATGTTTGGTATATATGTGGTTGTTGGCCTTACGTGCCATGTTTGGTATATATGTGGTTGTTGGCCTTCGTGTCATGTTTTTTGCAGGTTTTGGGAACCTCCCTGTGCAGGGGAGGTGCTGCCGAAATTTTGAGTCGACACTAACCATTTTTGCCCTTTTTTGCAGGAGGACCTGTGGGAGGGACTCATGACCCGATCGTCTTCGTCGGGCGCTGCGGGTCTTCCAAAGACGTCGACTCGCCATCGCACCGACTCTCCACCGCCCGCTACCCGGACCTCGCCACCACCCTAGGTATAACCCCTCTATCCGTATGTGGTTTTTGGTCGCACAAACCTAGTTAGGTGTCTCCCGTTCGAAAGAGATACGGTCGGAGATATGCGGACCTTTGCATATCTCTGCGACCGTATCTATTTCGGATTGTCCACGCTTTTTGACAGCCCAGCGAATGCGTAGTTGAGTTGAGTTAGTTTTCATGCTCGCTCCGGTTCGAGATTTGTGCTTTTGGCATCACCTCTCCGTTGTTCTCCGGATACACACTCTCCCTTGCGGGGCGTGTATCGAGAGAACGGCGGGGAGGTGCTGCCGAAATTCCGTCTCGGAAAGGAGCGGAGCATGGAAACTAACCTCATCTACGCATCCGCGGGTGGGATTAGGACCTATCCTCACCTATTAGAGAGTAGGGACACCGCGTAGATGCAATTGATGGTCACCGTGGTGATGTTATATATGCTAGAGGATGGAGGACCGTCAGTGGATGTACACGGGCCGGACAAGTCGTGGTGATGCCAGCTATGAATGGATGCAGAAGACCGATCGTTTCTTGAATCGTGCATTTGGCAAGGCCGCAAAATTCCCAAAAATGGCTTTGTGTCCCTGCAACAAGTGTGGTAACAGGAGAATGCTAGACAAGGAACTCATGGGTACACATCTGCACAAGAATGGGTTTACGCCGAACTACACCCGGTGGGTCCACCATGGTGAAGCCGATCGTATGAGAGAGGAGGTGGTGAGACAACGCGTCGAGGCTTTCGATCTTGATGCTTTGGGGTAGCGCATATGGTAGATGACGCTCACCAAGCACGCTGCTTTGTCTTGAAGGACGTGAGGAGGCGGAGATGCAGCAATAGTAGATGCGTTCAAGTACATGATGGACTCGTGACGAAACCCCTTCACGCTCATTCCGAGGTCTCCCACCGGATGCCATAAGTCGCTTGATGGGGTTGAAGTCCGATTTAAACTGGAGTCGAGAAGGCTTCGATAAGGTGTTGGCCGTGGTTGGCACCCCCGCTTCAAAAAACCACGTGTTGTCAAGACCATGTACGAGGCACACAAGCTCCTTAAAGCACTAAAGATGCCATATGAGCAGATACATGCTTGTCCGAACGGGTGTGTCCTATTTCGGGAAGAACTCAAGGAGACAAAAATATTGTCTCGGTGTAAAGCCTCCGTGTTCCTAGAGGTAGAGTCTGAGTGACAATGGTGGCCGAAGACCCAACTTAAGATACCCGCCCGAGTCCTACGACACCTTCCCTTCGTGCGAGGGATTCAAAGGCTATTCATGACCGAGGAAACCGCGAAATGATGACGTGGCACAAGAATGGCAAACACTACCATCCTGACAAGATGGTGCATCCATCTGATGGTGAAGCATGGACCAGCTTTAATGACAAGCATCATTTGAAATCCGATGAGGCTCGTAATGTACGTGTCGCGCTGGCAACAGATGGGTTCAATCCTTATGGCATGATGTCCGCCTTACTTACACATGTTGGCCCGTGTTTGTTATCCCCTCAATCTCCCCCTAAGCGCCGCCTTTCAACGACATAACGTGATCTTGACGTTGATAATTCCCGGCACCTGTGGAGTAAGATGGGTGTGTTCATGGAGCCTGTGATTGATGAGTTGATCAAAGCTTGGAATGAAGGGGTATGGACATACGACCGAGCTACAAAGGAAAGCTTCAAAATGTACGTCTGGTACCAGTACTCCATGCATGACTTCCTGGCGTATGGGTTATTCAGCGCCTGGTGTGTTCACGGGAAGTTCCCGTGCCCAATATGCCGTGAAGCCGTGAGGTTCATTTGGTTGAAGAAGGGTGGTAAGTATTCGCTGCTCGATCAACATCGTCAATTCCTAGATTCCAACCATCCATTCCGACAGACACCAAGAACTTCAGGAAAGGTGTCGCAGTCACGGACCCTAGACCGCACTTGAAGACTGGTGCCGAGGTTCATGCTCAGATAGATGCTCTCTTGCCCAATGAAGAAGGTGGTTTTGTGGGATATGGTGAGCAACACATGTGGACTCATAAGTCCCGGCTTGACGAGGCTCCCTATTTCGATGACCTTCTACTCTTATAATATTGATGTAATGCACATCGAAAAGAATATCGCCGAGGCACTTTGGGCAACACTCATGGACACCGACAAGTCTAAGGACAACCCTAAGGCTAGAGTGGACTGGCGACGTTGTCAGCGATAGACCACAAAGAAGTGATGCGGCCTCCTACAAACGGCAAGAATCGGAAAAGGCCTAAGGCCGATTTCATCTTGAAACCCGAACAAAGGAGGGAAGTACTACGATGGATCAAGGCGTTAATGTTCCTCGATGGGTATGCAATGAACCCGAGCGGGGGGAGTGAACTTAGGCACTATCGCGAGTCAACGGCATGAAGAGCCATGAC